ATACAATAAAATAGAAGAATTAGGTGACTGTCTCCTACATAAAAAATGATAGCATATTTCAACCCCTAGATAACTTATTGAAAAGTTTTGTCTCTCATATGTACATAATTAATCAGCACTATCTGAAAAAACAAGTCAGTGAGTAGAATAATAAAATAACATGTCTGTCCAAGTGTCTAATAGTGCTATGCAAATGAAACTAAGTTGTGTACTTCATTTTTACTTTCGCACTCTGAATGTATCAATATGATAATCCAATACACTTCTTGAATAATAAATGCTATTATAATAAAATGACTATCAACTTGACTAAATTAGTCTCGAATGATAGGTAATGCAGAACCTTTTAAAACATACAACACCAATATTTCCTAGGCAATGGAAATTAAACCTATCATCTTTAATCTAAAATGATGTTTTAGAAATGTCAAAGATGTCTCTAAAATTGGAATACTAAAAGGGCAGCCTATGCAAAGTGCCCATTATGAAATTTAGCTTTACCGTGGGTCCAGATATTCAGGGGGAAAATAATTCAAAGCTACTGATTAACTGGCATTTCCCAGAATGAGGTCTTAGCAATACATCAGAAACGCTGGAAGATGAAACATCTTGGAGTGAAACACAAGAAAAAGCCTCACGCCTTCAACCACACCCCATCACTCAGATTTGCTGGGATTATGCCAGTCTTGAGGAAGTTTTTTCTTGCTTCCCTATACATTTCATGGCTCAGTTATCTTACCTAGCTATATATGTCCTCTGTATTCACTCATCCTTTCCTTTTCTTTACCAATTATGGCCTCATTACCTTGGAAATTTCTCTCTGAAGACCAGGGACAGTTTCATGGATGTGCAACCTTTGCAGTTGCATAGGACTCCTTGCTAGAAGAGCATCATGCTTGATTTAATGCTCCGTGGCCATTATCTTGAAATTCTTAATTTTATCTTGAACTCGTGTTTTGTAAATGAAGTCCTATTGAACAGTGGAGGATACATATGAGCAGAGAGATATGTGCAATATGTATGTTTATTGTTCCTTGCCACCCCATGCACACGTAACATTTGCAATGTCACATAAGCACAGAATTCCAGTGGACCCATAATGCATAGGAATTCAGCAAAATTCAAAGTGCGTACAAAGTAAGTGTGTTAAGTCTGTGAATGAGGAAGTATTGGCACTGACAGCCCCAAGAGGCCACATGTTCTTGAACCAGAACTTCTGCAGAAAGAAAACTCCAAGGAATCCTATTCTTCCTTCCTCATTTTACTTCCTTGTAGCCAGTGATATTTAAAATAATGGCATGGAAGGAAAAAAAAAGATAGGTCAACCCACAATTCCTGTTCTTTCAGTCTCTCCTAATTCATTGGTAAGCTTAAGGTAAAGTGTTGGTAGAATGTCAACATATAATAAAAAAACAGTCGAGTTAATTTTTATGCATTGTTTTCACAAAGTATGTATTCATGTATGAGCTATGAAATACAAATTGTGTGATGGTGATTTCACATATGAGTTAAATGCCCTTATGTTTGCATTTAAAATTGTCATTTCACAATATATAGAAGGGGTAAAATTCATACTAATAATTTAAAATTTTATTTTTCTTTGGATGGAAAGACATTAAATGGCAAATAAAACACCATGACAAGTTGGAGTGGGGGAGATTGTGCCAAAAGAGAAAAGCTTTATTTTTTAGTACCTTTAACTGTACTTTTCTCCTGCTTTTGAATAAGGGGTACTGCATTTTCATTTTGCACTGAGTCCTACAGATTATGCAGCTGGCTTTGCCGAAGACTTTACAGCTGGCACTGTGTGCCTCATTTTTACTAATTATGGCTGAGAAGCATTACATCAGTGCTAGTAATATTCCTGAATAATGGAAAGGGAAAATCAAATTCTTTGATCTTCTTTGATCACTTTGAAAACTCCTTAAAACTTTTCTTTGTGTTCTCAAAAAATTTTAAGTAAAACAAATTCTTTCTCAAATAAGAATAATCAAAACATTTTAAAATTCTATTTCTTCTTTAATAATATTGTTTTATTTTAACATGAGAATTACAAAATTATCTTTTCCTACTGATTTTCACTGAAAATATATAGTATTTCAGCTGTACTATGGGTTACACAGACTTTAATTGGCCAACATAGGAACAATAGCCCTGCATTTTCTAAGCTGGGTTGAGAACCTAATCATCATTTCATTCTCCAGTATAAATGTGTTTTAAGTGGGAAATAACTGACTTACAAATTAATGTTTGTTTCATCACTTGTTCACAAGTCAAGAACTATCTGATTTTAGTTTACATTTTCTTACAGTTCAAATATGATGCTTGATATACTGAATTTGATTCACGATTGGAAAATTTATCCATATTTATTTAGCCAGTTTTGAAAGTTTTGCTATTTTCCTTTGGATAGACTATGAAATTTGGTCAAGAAGAGACAGGACAAATAGGCAGGATGCAGACAAATAGGAAAAAGAAAGTTTCATTTTTTATACCAAGATTCAGACATTTCTTGCTCATATTCTTGCTTCTGTAATTACTACAAGAAATACTTAAGTCATTTTTAGTCATTCGTTTCCTAAAGACCCTCATAGATATTTTCTATGAAATTATCTTATGAGAAAGAGAAAAAATTATTAATGCTATTAATCTCCAAGAATTTTATTGGTATTCAATTAGTAGGAAGTTAATTTTAATTTCAAAAGGCAAAGAAAAATAGAAAATAATAAACAAGAAAAGAATTCCCTCTAGTCTCTATGTCAAATGGACCACATTTAATAATTATTTTTCTGTGTATAAAATCCATCTTTTCCACCTCTTCCTTTGAATGCAAAATCTTCTCAGATGAGTTCGACCTAATTTGAGACTGGAAATAGTAGCAATAAACGACTATTTGAATTTTTAGGTCACAAGCTCAATATAAACCAGCTTTGCCTGTCTTAAGTTATATTCTTGGCACATTTGATTATTTTTTTCTTTTTAACTATATTTTATTCTTATATTTCCCTACTATGTAAAAGAAATAGTTTATAAGAGGACGAGTATATAATTAATTTAAGTAGTCTATTTTAGGAAATTTAACATTAGATTTAAAAAAATATTTATAGAAAAAAAGCCTTCTTTAAATAAGATGATATTTCTGACATGTTTTGATTATAGAGCATGTAGTTTTTACAAAAGAAGAGACTGCTATGATCATAAGGAAGAAAGGCTTGTCATCATTTCTCTTACTGAACCTTCGGTGTTTATTTTCAGTAATTGTTCTTGATGCAATCCTCATGTAATTCCATTGCTTTTAAAGAAGGCTGATTTATTTTATTTTTATGAAAACTATTTTCCTCTCAAAACGCTGTTGGATTAAGCTTATTTCCCAGGTTAGTAACTTTTATTAAAATTTGTTTTTGTGTGCGTTTTACAAAAAGAACCTAAAGGCAAAGATTTATCTGCCACTGCTATGGTCAATGTTTATGCTGAGAAACTATGAGGGAAACAATCAGAGACTGTGTTTTCAGAAATCTCTAGCATGGAGATTATTCTACTATCATACAGCAGCAACAAAACCATGAATGCTCAGTGGTTTTTGAACATTTACTGTATATATCGGATTTTTTAAAAAAGGTTTTATTTAATCCTCACGATAATCCAAAAACAAAACGAAATTCTAGGTCTAGCTTCCATTCCGTAAGTACCCTGCCAACAAGCTTTTAAACCCTTAGGTCGGCACATTATCATGTGTAAATAGTATCTTAGTATCCTCTGTGTAAATTTAAAAGTCTAAGTGAGGTAGGAGTTACATCAGGACCCCTCCCTGGAGCCACTAAAATGAAAAACAGTCTTGAACAATTGCTTTGACGTAGTGAAGCAGTTTTGTAATTTAAAACTTCCTGCTAAAGTGGAAAATAAAGGTGATAAAGTCCCCAACATAGGCATGAGCAGAAGGACACTTGGTGTGACCTAGAATTCACCTTTGCTTCATTATACGATCATTATAATAAATTACCATTGTTTTGACGGGTTAAAGCTGTATCCATCATGCATCTGACACCAGGGCAGTTCTGAAAAGCCAAACATGGTAAGAAAAGGGGCGTCGCCTTAATTTTGGGGGGGGGGAACCCACCTACTTTCCTTAAAGTAACCATTCAAAATCATGAATATTCCACCCCTTATTTAGATTAATGTATAAAATCCCCAAAACCCTTGATCCTGCCCGCTCTCCTATCTGAGGGTGTATTTTCGCTTGGCAGAAGTCTTTGGGGTTGACCACTTTGGGCAGCTTGCTCTCCCTGTTGAGGGTGAGCTTAATTTGTCTTCAAGGATGACTGCTCCTGTCGGCCTATTCTCTCTTCTAAAAGTGTACTTTTGCTTTTAATAAAGCTAGCTTGCATACAATCAATTTCTGGGCGTCTGCCTTCAATTCTTTGTCGACCAGACGCCAAGAACCGAGATCCAGGAATTCCAGGACTCCCCACAACCAGTAACATAAGTGGTTTGGAGGTCCTTGGGTTCCTTAACACCTAATAGACATGATTCTTGCTAGAAATTCAAGCAATCCAGTAACAGAGAACTTTACTGGGTGACTCAGCACAAACTGGTTACACTCTTCCTTATGTGTGATATCAGATACTTGGATAAAATTTTGACGTTCCCTTAACTGACTCTGAAGGTTATAAGGAAGTAAGAAGCAGCATCAAGAAAAATAAGTCACCCATCCTCTCATGGTCTGGGAAGGGCAAATCTACAGGTTAAACTTTGGGGCTGACAGGCTGAGAGCAAGGTACTTCGGGGACTGAGGGAGGCCGCAAGCCAAGCAGCAAACATCCAGAGTCGGACACCCGAAACCCCGAGTCAGAGTCCCAGTAGAGTCGCAGTAGAGTCGCCCCTACTCCGGAAGCCCCGGGAGGTTTCATGCCACGCCCCGGCCACGCTCCCAGCTTCCGCAGCGAACTACATTTCCCAGAATGCTATTCAATCCGCCTCGCAGAGCGCCGTAAGCGCCCGGGTGACGCCATCAGCCCGCGCGTTGTTTAGACTCTACTGATGTCGTGGCGCTTAGGGAAAAGAAGTTGGTGTTTCGCCGGATCCTGGTCCTGAAGACGCGGTCTCGGTTACCCCTGGCCCCTTTCTACCCACCCCTCCGCCCGCCTTTTCCCTCCCTTCTCTGGCAGGATGAGGCGTGCAGGCTTGGGTAAGAAGAGGGCTGAGATTCGAAGTTCGGGGCCCCTGGAACCGGCTGTGCTGGGCGCAGGGACACGGGAGGAAATTGGACCGGTTTTAAGTCACTGGAATCTAGGCCAGAAAGGATATATCGAGGGGTCTTTGGAGGCGGTACCAAGTAGGACACATAATGTATCCTGGATTCTAGGATTGGTTTAGTCCCAGGGTTCTTTCAGTCCCAGGTTTGGATGATAGGTCTAGAGGAAGTAGTGGAGGATTGAGGGTGGAGTATATACAGGTGCCAAATCAGCAGACAAGGTTTTCAGTGTTATCGATTGAGCGTGATTATGGAAACTGCTCGTTTCCCTAAGTCTTGCTTCGATTTCTTTTTTTCTGCTGGCCCTGGATATTAGTTTCTTCAAAAGTGAAATTTGAAGAACGTTCATGCGAAACAGTAATAATAATCATATTAGTCTGATAACAGTGAGTTACAAAGGTAAATGTACGTGTCATTACTGTTAAAGGCTGTGATGTGTTAACATCTGGGTCAGAGGCCATTTTACCCAGAACATATCTGAGTCTTGTTCCTCTGTTAATGCAGTAGAATGTGGTAATCCTTGACGACTTAGATCTTGTTCTTGACCTTTTGGCTTAGGAAGCAGGTTCACCAAGCAGCGGGAATAAGTTAGGCACAAGGACTTTTAATGGGCCATTATAATGCAGAGCTATTAAAACAGCATTTTCTGGTTCTGAAATTCTTTATTAAGAGACAGTTAAAAAAAAAAAAAAAAAGGACTTCTAAATCAGCGTACAATATACCTGAGAAAATATATGAAGTATTTGGAAAAAGATGTTGCTTTTTTAAAATTATTATGATTAGATGGAAAAAAAAACGTTTTCAAAGTGTCAGTTTAAAGTTGGTCAAAGTTGTCAGTAACTCGAGACTTGTACATTGATTAATAAATGGTAATATGAGAAATAGCTTTTGAAAAACATAGTTTTTATGAATTGTTGGATCATAGACGTTGGCCAGGTAAATCGTAGAGAAAAATTAATTTTGAGCAAGTTTACTTTTATATGCCTAAATGTTTTTCCTTTGTATCATTACTAATGATAACAAACATTTATTGTGTACCTACCTTAGTAAGCTCCAGTTATACAGTCCTTTGTGGCCCTGTGTGTGCTCGCTAAAGCGAGAGTAGGAACATGTTCAAAGATAAATTATAGTACAGGGTGATAGTTATACATCCAAATAACAGATAAATTCTTCAGATAGTGAATATCTAGGGATTTGTGGAGACATAAGGAACTTGAACTAGAGCTTGAGTAATAGAGTATGTGAGAGGTAAGTTCCAGTTGGAAGGATGACACACATCCCCCCCCAAAAGTCATAGAACTAGAATTATGAATGATGTGTCAAAGAGATTATGATTAAGCCAGTTTGGTTGAAGTGGGAAATGTGGAACCAGAATCACCACATTGTAGAGATCTTCGAGTTCCAGGCCAAGGAATTTGGATCTTACCAATAGGAGCCCTTTGGCTCCTTTGAATGTTTTGTGTAGCAGTGTGCCATGATAAATGACAGGAAAGAGACTTGAGAAGTGGTGGTTCTCAGCCCCCATTGAATATTAGGATCACCTGGAGAGTTTTTAAGGCATTGATACCTGGACCCCAGCTCAGACTAATTAAATTAGAATTTTTATGATAGAGCCTTTACCTTTTAAGCTCCCTTGTAGTTAGGAGGAAAGGTGGTTATCTAGATGTCTGTTGCTATCATTTACATTGGTGTGATGTGATGAGGGCTTTTTATTTTTTAATTTAGCTTTTTTTTTTTTTTAAGTATCAGTGTGGAATTTTAAACTTGGGATGAATAGTGAATCTAATGTGAAGAAGTTGCCATATTTCACATGCATCTCTAAATGATTTGGCTCAGTTATTAATAGAAACTACCCCCCAAAAGTAGCATTTGTCTAAATGAACAAAGGCTGAGGATGGATGACTTTGGCATTCATCAACTTTCCTACAACTTTTCATAACAATAATTCAGACAAAAAGAAGTAGCTAAGTTTGGAATAGCAACTCTTAGCATTTTATTTGATTTTTTTCTTTTTATATTGGATGTGGGAGATAGTGTAAGGGAATTATAAAACTCTTAATAGAGGAAATGTGTATTTGTAAGATTGCTGGGCAATAAAACGAGAATTTTGCTTTTAATAAATGGAACAGTATAGAACTCTAAAATTAAAATTAAGATAGGCAAAAGAGCAAAACAAAGAAAATAAAGCAAATAGCCATTAATTTACAAATAGATTCCTTGGTGGTTGTCGAGGTACATTCATAACCTTAGTCAAAAAATAAGACATTTTTCTCTTTAAGGATTTTGGTCCTTATTAAAGTAGAATATCTTTGATTGTTGGAATGTTAATTTATTTTTTAAATTATTATTTTAATTAAGTGTAGAAAATATTGTGCCAGTCACTTGAGTTATTTTATAATCGCACATTTGGAGAGCTTTATGGATACTGTGTCAGCAATGAGGGGAAAGTTGAAGAATGCAACTCTTTTTCCTCTGGAACATACTTAACCTATTGTGGTTTTTATGGGGGTGGAGATTGTGTCAGCATCTGCTGCATAGAAAGTACTCATTAGGTACAAGGGATATAGAATTATGAGACACTGTCTTTGCCCTCAGAGAAGCTTATTATTTCATTCTTGACAAAGGCAGGAACATTCAAAATTGTTATTGACTGAATAACAGTGAATTCAGATTCTATTCATTTACAAGTATTTATTGAGTATGCCTTTGTGTGTATGTCTGCGCTTGTGTGCATACACGCGCACATTTGGGGATATACAGCTGTGAGTAAAACAAATTTAGTTTCTGCGCTTGGTGTGGTCTAGAGTGTGATATTAGTGATACGTACAGCAAAGCCGTAAGGATTCAAAAGAGGGAGTTTTGCTTTTCAGAGAAAGTGAGATTTGTGTTATGCCTTGAAAGAGCTTCCTTCAGTGACAGCGCTGACTGCTACCTAACTGTCTTTCTATCTCTTATTGTCACTATCACTCCACCTACTCTCTGAGCTTGAGAAACCTCTAGTTTCTATATCATCCCTTTCCCCACATTCTCAGGCCTCTCTTGAAACTGCTTCAATCCTTGTCCAGTCTAGACCACATAATTCATACGTTTAACCACTCTTTTGGCAAGTAATCTCAGCCTTTCTTGGGTTTCTGTCCTTTTGCAGCCCCAGTGCTGTAAACCTCCAACTCCTGTGTAAGCCAATCATCCAGCTTCTCATGGGCTAACTTAGACTCTTCTTTCACACAAACAGGGGGATTGAAACCACTACTACATATTGCCTCAGCCAGCATTGTTTTATCCCCCTCGTAATCCTGTATAGTCCTCGTCAGTTTCCTCCATTATTTTCTTTACTGTCTTTTTCAAATGATTACCATTCTTCAGAGGCAGGCTTTTCTCTTCTTTTACTGAGAAAATTGGTGGTATCAATTGTTTTTTAAAAGTTAAGTGATACCCTCAACTATGTTTCCTCTCAATCCTCCCAACAACATTTATCTAGGTATTCACTGTTCAAGGTTCACTCCACCTGTTTGATTGCCTGATGAATATCAAGCACTATATTAGGCAGTGGCCAAGAGTGTAATCCTGTATTCACAATGCTATTTCCTAGAAGGTAAGCTCCAAAGGATAGCATCTGGAAAGAAAATGGATCTGACACATGGTAGTTTCTCAAATATTTGTTGAAGAATGAATGAATTCCTCTCTTAACTCTCAGCTAATACTCTCCATAAATTATTTGAGCTCTCTTCTATTTAAAAGATGCCAATAAAGGACTCTCCCTCTGCCATGAGCTCCCTCCTGCTATATTATCCTCTTTATCCCTTTCCGTTCATAGCCAGGCTTCTTCAATGGGGAGTTGATGTTACTATTTGATCTTTTTCAAACTGTAGTTCTATGGAGCAGGAACTGTGTCCTGAATATCCTTATATATCAGTGTCTATTTTAGTGCGTTGTGGGCAATCAATAAGCAGTCAATAAATGTGTATTGAAATGAATATCCTTTGCTTAAGAGAGGACATTAGGATTATTCTGATTTCTATTTGATTATTAATTTTTAAAATTCATTTGAAGTGTGAATATTATAGACATACGTGGTCTGCAACGCCCTCCAGGGGTCTTTTTCGGTTTTTTCTTATTAAGGTTTCAAAAGTGGCTTGTTTTTGCTATAGCTGTACTTGTGACTGATCCTTGCAGGTGAAGGAGTACCTCCTGGCAACTACGGCAACTATGGCTATGCTAATAGTGGGTATAGTGCCTGCGAAGAAGAAAACGAGAGACTCACTGAAAGTCTGAGAAACAAAGTAACTGCTATAAAATCTGTAAGTATGTAACAGATATAGTTTTACATTTGTATATTAGATGCAAAATATTATATACTTATAAACTACATACTTGTATTGGCATGGTCCTAAGGAATTCAGTTACCCAAATAGTATAGTTCAGTGAGGTCAAAGTACACTCAAAATTTAGACATTCAAGTACGTTAGAAAATGTGGCCAATGAAAACATATGGTACATTTGTTTGTTTTTAAAAACTTAAGCTGTTTTTATGGTCAAATCTAAAATATAGTATGTTGTCTATAGTTATGTCTCCAAACAGTTCATCTTCCACCCCCAAGCAGCTCTTCTCTTGACCTTTTCTCCTAGTCTCCTAAGCTACAAATCTCATTTTTTCCCACTTCTACCTTTTCTGTCACACCAACCACTGAGTCTTCTTTCTACTGTTTCTCTCTATTCTTGCTTTTCTATTTCTAATACTGTCCTCTGGTTTTTTACTGGGAAAGCCTCTTAATCTATCTGCTCATAATTTTTTTACATCTTCTATTCTGAACTACATGCTGTCACCACAGTCATCTTTTTAATGTATTTATTAAATTGCACCCTACACTCCAAGAAGTCTTCAGTGCCCTCCCATGATGTAAGAAATGAAGTCCATACTCTGTAGCTTGAACAAATAGGTCCTTTAAAGATTGTCTACAGCTTTTCAGGCCTTATCTCCTGCACTTCCAGAATGTATATATGCTTTCTGCTGGACAAATTAGAGTGCTCTCTGTGCCCTGTGCACTCTGTCACTTTCCTACTCCCATATCTTTGCTCATGCTATCCTTTGCCTCAAGTGTCCTTTCCCTCCCTACATTAGCTGAAGTCTTGCCTATCTAAAAGGCTGCACTTCACACCCCTTCCCTCCTCCAGGCTTTACCTGGTTACCACATCATAAGTAACTTTCCTTTTGAACATCAGACCATTTGTACTATCACTTTAGCATTTATTGCATAGTGATCTGCATTGGAATTAGTTATATGTACAAGAAGTTTACCAGAACATAGGATTTTCTGTTGTATTTATTTTTATATTTTACACAGCACCTAGTATAATTCCTTATCAGTTGTATTGAGTTAATATGTATTAAATAAAAGGAATTTTAAAAAAGATAATTTTAACAGTGTACGTGATTGATTATGAATTATAATAAACATGCTATATACTTTTAGAGCATTAAGTAGAAGCTCATGTTACCAAAACTTAATTGATATTTCACTAGTCTTGGAAAATAGAAGTGTATTTAGCCTAGAGATTATTACATTCTTAACGACTATTGTTTTCAAAGTCATATTTAATCAAAAGGAGTTGTCTATGAACTAAACAATATTATCTAATGTTAATAATTTAGAAAACATTTAGAAGGAATTAGGAATTAAATGAATTTTTTAAAAAACTCTGATGTTGATAATTTAGGCTCCTTGTTAGAAGAAAGCTTTTATCCCTTAAAAACATCTTTCCTTGGCATGAACGACAGTTGTAATCAGTAGTTAGGTGATTTGGACTACCAAGCTTTATTGTTGCTTTATTATCTCTGAATTGTTCAGTTTTGGGGGAAAACTCAGATTATGATCTATATAATTTTAGTATGGTTTTGTCAACAATACCCCCATATGCTTTTCACCCAAAATAAGATGAAAACAATATTAGCAATGGTTTGCCAAGATTTTTAGTAGAGTTCATTTTTAGATATATTTGTCGTATAAAGTACTAGATAGGTTTTGGTTTGAATAGCAGCCATAATCACAGTAAATATTTCTTTTGGGCTTAGCCTCTTTTCTGCATAGCTTTGGAATGTGGATAGCCTAACTTGTAAAATTTTTTCTAATTTAGTATATTTTAAAGAAAAAAATACTTTTAGAATTGAAAGAAATACTCAGTATAGGTATATATTCAAAGTTATATCACATTTCAATATTTGGATTGGAATTGATAATACAGGTCTTGTATATACCTTTTAACATTTAAAGAAGGCAATATAAAGATAAATGCTGCTGAGTAAATGCTATAAGAATTGAGAAAAGCATGCAAGGACAAGAGAATCAGAAGTATGTACCAAAATTGAAAGATATAATTGAATATTAAGATAAAATCAGAATGAAGAGCAGGGAAACAATATCCTCATTGGGAAGGAGTAGAAATTCTAAAAATATTTTCCATTAATTTTGGTGGAAATTATCAAAAGAAAAGAGTAAATTTTATATTTCTAGAATACAGTTTTATTTGAGAAAATATATACGTTTAAAATGGCGTTGTTTTTGCTTTATAACACTTAACTACCTTTATATGAGTAATAATGTATATGCTTTCTTTATAGCTTTCCATTGAGATAGGCCATGAAGTTAAAAGTCAAAATAAATTATTAGCTGAAATGGTAAGTGGGATTTTAAGTTTAAGAAATTTGATCTAATATTCTCAAATTTAGTGTTAATCAGGAATATTTTAATTTTCATCTATTTTGAAATAGATCTAGAGATCATAAGTCCTGGATTTCCATTTATTTATATCTAATTGGTTTGAAATAACTACAAGGTTTATTTTTGCCATATTTTTACATTCTTCATCTTGCCTAACACATATAAGTAGGAGGAGGAGGTGAAAGCCAATGTATCTTTAATCCTGTGTTTAGAAACACTGTTAAAGACTCAGAGCAATTGATGATTTTGAGTGTTCTTAAGAGATCTCAATGGATATAGACTACCAAGTAATCAAAAAGCACTTTACATCCAATCAACCAAATATCTTGCACCTAATAAAAGCCAATTTCTTTTGCTTGATGTCCTAAGGATCACTTCTGAACAAATCAATAACATTTAAACATCGTAACATCTCAGAGCCTTTTATCTGTAGTCCAAACAATCTCAGCAACATTAGAGCCTTTTCCCATTCTTTGTGTTTATTTTGGATGTCACACTTCTCCAGACTTTCCCTAGTTTCTCCACATGCTTTTAAAATTGTACTGTTTAAAAATGAATATGGCAGGGTGGGGTTTGGGAGATAGGTAGCTCTGCTGCTAAGTGGGAAAAAAATCAAAGAGGTTAGAAAAGCACTGATCTAATAATAATAAGAGGAATATGACATTGAAAGCAATGTTCCTGTGAAGGTTGTGAATTAGCGTCATGTGGAGAAATTTCTGAAAATATTGGTGCCTGGTTCTTACTCTAAATATACTGATTCAGAATTTCAAGGGATAGAGCTTAGGTATATGTATTTTGAAAAAAGCATTCCAAATGATTCTTCTCATGCATAACCCTGGTGAAGAACTACAGATATATAAAGTGCTTCAGCTACATAGAACCAGAGCTATACAACGGGGCTTTTGTATAGGGCCTTTACCTCTCAGGATATTGAGATTTCTATGAAAGTGCAATATTTATAACTCCATACCTAGACTACAATATTTCTAATCCATGTTAGTCCTCTCATCATTAGGACTTTTCCAGCTATGTTTTAATATGGTAGTTTTTCCCCACGCATATTTGTAGTCTTTACACACATTTTTACCACTTCTACATGATATTCTCTTTTAATAGACTCTATTGTTCTTCAAAGTTAGCTATCTAAACTAAAGGATCTTTAAAGGTACATTTAACTGCTAACCATATTAAATTTTGGACAAATTGCTGTACTGAGAAGCAACCAACCATTTGTCCTTTGAGAGCATGCCCCAGCAAAATGTGGGAAGAAACCTGTATGATAGTAGACAAACTGCTTACCTTTATTGTTAAGAGTTTTTAATCCTCATAATTGGTATTTTTAATTACCTTGGGGCTGAAAGACATATTTGTTGGCTAATGAAAGAGCTTTTTGTTCATTGAGAGAATTACTCTGTTTTGTATGGAATAATCAGGCTGATTACCTAAATTATAAAGACTCCTGAATTAACACTAAAAATGTCATTAAAAATGTTCTGATAACAATATATTCATTCAATGTGCATATGAAGAGTATTAGAATCTAAGCATTATATATTGTTTTTCACTTTTCCTCATAGGATTCACAGTTTGATTCTACAACTGGGTTTCTAGGTAAAACTATGGAAAAACTGAAGATTTTATCCAGAGGGAGCCAAACAAAGCTGTTGTGCTATATGATACTGTTTTCATTGTTTGTCTTTTTTGTCATTTATTGGATTATTAAACTGAGGTGATACAAGTAAGTGTGAGTTTGGAATTTGTTCCAACTTAAATATCTTGGAGTACCACTTCAGTAAAAAATCGGTATAAAAACATTCCTAATTTTCAAATACTATGGCTTTTTCCATAGAAGATTACTGAATTTTACATGTTTTATAAATCATATTGGATAATACAGTACTCTTTGAATACTGTTTTTTAATGATTCATTTTTGCCCCTATTTTCAGGGGTATTGAGTTTGGCCCTGACAATTGTTTTTCTGTTGTTTGCTGTCAGATTAAACAGTAGTATAACATTCTGTTGTTAGCATAAATGTTAGGTTTATGTTCCATGTAAAGAAACTTTGCAGCAGAATTACAGAATGCCTGGAGCTCCTGAGGCTGAGCTCCTGAGGCAGTGAACAAGTTTCTGATGGAATGGTACATGTATTTCCTGAACTGCCATCTACCTTAATGATGTACTCCCTTTCCTCCTTTATTTGGTTAAAATTGTAGGTGGATTTCTTTTTACCTATAATTTTCTAATAATTTTTGATGATATGACTCCTCTTTCCCCTTTGCCCAAGGACCTCATTCTTTAATAAAGCTTTTTCTTTTGGCATATTTCTAGTAGGGTGCAAAACAAATGTGTACTGGTATAATTGTTTTATATTAACTTTATACATACTATTAACTTGGCTTATAATAGTTTTATGATTTTAGCTACTTTGGCCATTTGGTTATCATTTGTGACAGAATAACGTCAAGCTAAAGTAATTGCTAAGCTCCGAATGGAAATAAAATGTTCAAGAAAATTAATTGCCTCTGTTTTATTATGTGCTCAAAATAGATAATTGAAAGTACTCAGCATTGAACTTGGGGTTAAGAGTATTGTTGTTTTAATCCAGTATATTTGTTTATAGAAAGGAAAATAAAGACTGTTGAGTAGAAAGAAATATTAAAATGTTCTTGAATACTCTGTGTTGCCGCTGTTTTGGAATTTACCCATTTATGGGCTCCAAAAATAAATTTTTAATGAATTAAGTGACTGTTGCTTCTTTATTCAAGACTTATTTTACATAAACCTGAGAAATGATCCTTAAAACTCAGATTCTGAACAAAATCAGGAAAAGTTAACATATTTATATGATTTCAGAACTCGTTTCAAACAAATGAGATAAATCATGACAAAGTTCAAAAGCCTTTAATTTTTTAAATATTTTTAGTTATAAATCTGTTATCTTTGATTTTGCTGGGTTTGCAATTCCTTTTGCTCATCTCTAATTACCTATCAATTCAGACTATCTTTTCTGGCTGGATTTGTCATTTGTGCTTCTACTTAACATGTAAAAACACTAGAACTAAGAGGGTTTAAGTGACTTAGCATGTAAGAGACAGGTCTGAGATATGATATGAGGGACACCGGTTTGAGTTAAGATGACCTGGGTTCAAATCTCCATTCCTTTACTTGCTCAATGTTCTGGGGCCTTTTTCTTTATTTAAATCACTTATTTCATAGGATTGTTCTGAGAGGTAGATAATATATTGGAAAGTGCCTGACACAATCACTCAATATTATTAGTTCTCCCTATCATTAACAGACACATCAGACAAGGGAGTTATTTTAAGGGCTAGACAGTGAGTTGGTTTCAAGCTTTGAGGAGATGGGACCCTCAAATGGAAATTTCTATCAATTAGATTGATTTGTTTTTCAAGAATGATTTAATTATGTACTTTGTGCCAATTATGTGATAGCAGAGCTCAGGGAAGACTTAGAAATCATTGCAATAAAAAAAAAAAATTCTAACATTAAAATTGCAAAAAGAAAAGCAGGCCAAAGAAAAATGACTGCAGGATGGAAACAAAAGAATCCACAAGAAATAGACAAGATCAAAGCCTTAGGAAAACCAACGACAGCAAGAAAAGGATGGATTTCAAGATTAAGGTTTGGCTATTACATGAACGTATTCGGTAAACACTTTAAATGTTAGATATTATGGAAGAGTTAGGGATTTCATGAAAAGGGGTTGGGATGACGTAAAAGTGGTTCTCATCCCTGCATTGTCTAACATTTCTTATTTTGCAATTCTTTTTAAGAAGTGTCTGAAAGAAGTCCATAACCAGCATTTCATATCACTCCCTCTTACCATGGCCTTTGCTAAGATTGCCTGGGACTCCTCCAGAGGGGCCTGTCCCTACCCCATCAGGAGTCCTTCTGTTTGGGGACACCTTAGGAAAGAGTACTCCCAGAAATAAAATTTTGGGGAAATCATCAAATATGGAAAAGTTCTAATCCATTTATAATCCTTTATAAGCTCACTGCTAACTCTGAAAAGGAAACTATGGCTATAGTTATCTAACAAGTTGATTACAATATTGAGGCAAAATATTTACATTATAGCTTTTATTCAAACAACGTTAAGACTTGAAGATGTTTGGATGGTGGTAACACTATAAATCCTATATTTTAATTGGTAAAGCAGATTCAGAAAGCAATTCATAAAAATCTCAAATGTCTAAATTTTTCTGCTAAATATCTGGTCCATTTTGTTACAAGTTGGTCCTTGGAAGTGTGTCAACACATTTGCAAATAATAGAAACTATAACTTATCTGCACCATCCCTTACAGACATCAGGCATTGGTATCTACAATGAAGAAAGGGAAAATTACACATATTATTAATATAATTTAAATTAGCATGTAAATTCTTTGATGCTATTCAAGTAGAAGATAGTTGTTAAATCTAAAAAAATTTATGGGTTGAAGAAGCGCTAATACTGTCAATACTGTAATAGCTATGTGTAGTGCCAGGTGGATACTAGAGTAATTGGGGGGATCACTTCACTAATTATGTAAATGCCTAACCATTGTGCTATATGCCTGAAAATTAATTAATTAAACTAAGTATCAGAGATAAACCAGAGAGAGAGAGCGATCTAAAAACTAATTGTGGGTATGGCTTTTGGTGCATAGAGTGGATTCAAATCAGAGAAAACCCACAGAACTTTTTAGGGAGCTATACTAATAAAAGTGACATCACTCTAGATTAAAAGGGACTAAATATTAAAAGACTGGGCCCACAACTTTCTATGGGCAGGAAGCAGGCTGAGAATGTCAGAGGGTGAAGCCAAGGGCCATGGAGCATAGTGAATTGGCATGCCGCCTTCAGAGCAGGCAAACTCTTAATAAGGCCTGCAGTTCCCCTGCCTCCTGGTATTCACAGCTTTGTGTAACTCCCTCTTGAGAGTGAGCAGGACCTGTTACTTGCTTCTGATAAGTAGAGGTGGGGAAAAAATCTAAAACAAACATGCAACATTTTATGCATTTGAATTCTGGAGCAGAAAATCCTAGCACATGCACCCATAGAAAGCTTCTGGTTCCATAAAATAAACTAGTTTTCCTAATTTTTCAGTACTCTCAAATTTCAAATTATATGTATTGAATGTGCTTCCTTGTAGAGAAAGTGGAAGAAGCGCTTGATAATGTGGGTTCATTTAGTCAGTAAATAATTTCATCAGGCCGTACTGATGAATAAACTGGCTAAATATTTACTGGGAAGCAGACTAGGATCATAGATAAGACTGAAAGCTATGAAGTCACACTACCTGAGCATAAATCCTGGCTCCAATGCTCACATTATGATTTTGGGCTGATAGCCTCTCCACCTCAGTTACTCTATTTGTAAAACAAGAATAAAAATTGTATGCAGATAGGAGCAATGCAGTCAGAGGGTTATTGTGGTAATCAAATGATAGTCCCTGTGAAGAAGTTAGAGCTGGCTCCTGGTACTCAATGGCGCTGCCTTCAGGGTAGTTGCTCAGAGTTTTCTATTCAAACTTTTCAATTTTTAATTTATTTTTAAAAATATAATCTACCGTCTACGGCCATGCCACCCTGAGCAATCCTGTCTGATCCCGGAAGCTAAGCAGTGTCTGATCCCGGAAGCTAAGCAATGTCAGGCCTGGTTAATACTTGGAATGGGAGACCACCTAGGAAGACCGGGTGCTGTAGGTGTAAAAAATAAAAAAATAAGGGATTGTAAGCTGACAAGGTCCTTGCAATCTGTGAGGTCAACCAAACGTTGCCTCACCCTGCCCTGCCCCCCAAATAAATATATATAAACTACAAACTTTTATAGAATAACAGCATTCTAATATTCAACTTTAAAGGCTACTATAATTTTAATATACTTTCTTGAGTTCTTTGTATCTTCAAATGTCCTAGAGAAATAACCAGGAATTTCTCATGTAATAAGGATTAATTAAGTTAAACATGTGAGTAAGTGAAAAGGAGGGAAACTATATATATATATATATATACACATGTATATATATGTACATATGAGTGTGTATGTTATAAAGAGAGGAAAACTGCAACTACTTTTATATTTATATAGCCTTTGACTTAAATTATATTAAACTTTTTTGGAGGATGTGGACATTTAAGGGCAGGTAGTAGAAAAATGTTATATGTTAAGTAGTTTGCTGTTTAATTGAGGTTGTAAGTGTTACTTTATTCAATGTATAGTTTTCCTTTTGTTCCTAGTAATGGAATGATGTATGTTTTCAGGAGATTTAACTAATTTCTAATTAAACAATTCCTACTGGTACTAATCTATGTCAAGTAAACTCAAAATGGGTTATCTTTTCGTATAACCATGAGTACTCATGACAATTTTTTGTTCTAATACTTACTAGAGCTGTTATAAACATATTCCTTTCAGAGCTGACCATCTGGTATTTAAAATTCATTTCTTCCTTACCAATGAGGAAAATTTTAGAAATTGTTACATCTTCAAAAAACATCTGTGTGGTGTCTGATGACCACACATCCCCTCTACTTAGTTTTTCTATATTTTTAGAGATATAAATTCCTAATAATAAAAGAACATGAACATTATTCATGGAAAAAACATTTTAACTTTCAAAAGTAAAACATGTTTGTTTAATTCATTCAGGAAAGAGATATTCGAAAGCTATTAATATGAGACCATATGTTAAACGCCTGTGTTTTCTCTAGAGCCCTTGGCACAATAGTACATTCCAAGAGGTGATTGATGAATAAATTAATGTTTCCTACTAGAGAACATTTTTTTTTTTATCACCCTTCACTAAAATTTCAGTGCTGAGACCATAGAAAACCCTTAATAAAAATGTGTGGCTCAATTGATAATATACTAAGTTCAGTTGCTAACTGAGCTTCTTTGAATATTGGAGGCACAATACTACAGCCATTAGGTTAATTAGGGTCCAAAAATTGTTGCTAATTTAAAATTTTTCTTATGGTTTTCCCTTCTATAAAGCTGAGAGAAGATGCTCTGCCTGCAGGGTCAAGAATGAATGCTATTTAATCAGGCACAAGTGGAGACAAGTTGAGAAAAGCTGATTAATATTCCTCCTTTTCCATCGCCATTCAGACTTCAAAACATAACAAGTTTATCAGCAGCTCTGACCCAAGTTGATCAGTAAGTAGGACATTCCTTTCCAGAAAACTTAGCTTTTTTAAAAGAATATATTTTTTTTGTTTCTGTTTCCAAGTAATTAGACTTGACTCCTGTTCTGAGCCAAGAAGTCTGCATTTCACTCAAAGGCCTAGAACAATGTGTGTAACCCACTTAGTCAGCAATGTAAGTGGTGGCTTCTCATTTACCAGGGAGTTTCATTGGCACAGAGATCAAGGACTCATTCAGGTCAGAGAGTGGGGCATTACATTGCTGGTGTAGGCAATTAGGCACATCCAGTCAGCCTAGCATTCCTGGGTTGTCCGCATTTTGCTACCATTGATGATATAGTATAGAAGCTATATAGACATATAAATAAAGATATATAAATTTAATTTTGTATCTTTCAGAATAGGCGGTCCATTCTCATTTATGAAAGGCAAGTAATAAACATTAGCAACTTAGAAACTCAGCTCTCTAAGTCTACCATGATTTTCAGAGCTAAAAATTTCTGGTCTGCTCATAGAATTATAGAATTTTGGATTGAAAATGAGACACTAATTCCAACATATTGTTTCATAAATGCAAGGTTCTGATCTACAT